GTAAGAGAACTGCAGAATGAATATTAACAAATGTGTTCAGAAAAGACCTCAGGCTGATCAATGGTGCCACCACGAGCAACACTCAGTGAAATCAATAATTAAATGAATTTCCATGTTTTAGTAAACTATGTGCCTCTCTTCTCATCACTGGAACAGAAGAGAAACCTTTGAAAGATGGGAATAAACTGGATTGGGCTCATCTCAAAAACAGCAAAAAAAAAAAAGCCTAGTTCAGTGTTACAGCTAAACAGAATGCAATGAAATTGTAACTCCTGGGGGATTGGGAGGTTCACATTACTACTACATCTTCCTGAGTTGCCTAGCCTGCTTTAATTCTAGTCATACTTGAACATTTAAACCTACAAATCTGGTTTGCATGCCAGTGAAAAATGTCCAGCCAGAAAAATGATATTCTGATTATCAAGAGGATTAGCTTTCAACATGTATGATCAGGAACAGTCATTACTGAAGTAGAATTCTAGTGTAGGGATTATTCAAGTAATCAGAGGCAGGTATTTGGCTGGGCAGTGAGGCCTAATCTGTTTTCTTTTCGGTCTCCAAGTTCCTTTTTAGAAAGAAAGTTGGGAGAAAATGGCAGAAGAAACAAAAGAGCTGAAAAGCTGAAAGGTCAGGTTGCTGAATTATCCTGTCAGGATCTCTAAATAAAGTTAGGTAAGGGTAAAGGTTCCCTCACACATACATGCTAGACATTTCCAGCTCTAGGGGCAGTGCTCATCTCCGTTTCTAAGCCAAAGAGCTAGTGCTGTCCAAAAATGTATCTGTGGTCATGTGGCTGGCATGACTAAATGCTGAAGGCTCATGGAGCGCTGTTACCTTTCCACCAAAGTGGTCCCTATTTTTCTACTTGTATTTTTTACGTGCTTTTCAACTGTTAGGTTGGCAGAAGTTGAGACAAGTAACGAGAACTCACTCCATTACACGGCACATTGCATAGGGATTCGAACCATTGAACTGCTGATCTTCTGATCGACAAACTCAGCATCTTAGCCACTAAGCCACCGCATTCCTTAAAGAAAGTTACACACCTATTTTTTCCATCTTCCTTGATTCCCTTCTCCTCTTCACACATCAGTCCTTGCTGGCTCATGTTATTTTCTATGTTATCTGCTTCTTTCCCTGTTCTTTTTCTATAGAGATAGATTATACTACCGATTTTGGCAGTGGTTGCTCTTCAAGCTTGTTTTAATTTAATTTCTGAACGTTTCATTACCAGACTAGGTAATCAGCAGGATTTTCTTGTCCTATTCTCCTTAGTTTATAAATGTCTTTGTGTTCCAGTGTCCCAGTTGGTAATTTGATTGGTTGTTTGTTTAGAGCTATATTTAAATTCTGAGCAGCTGACTGGTTCTCTTGTTGATTGGTTGTTCGAATGGTCTGGTTTCTTATATCGTATGTTGATCTAGATCAATAGGCTTGTTAATTGCTCCTTTGGTAGAATACCAGGCTTCAATAAATTCATGTGTGTAGCAGGTGTTAGCATGGCCAATGGTTTTTGTTCCTTCCCAATCAAACTGGTGTCTTTATTATCAATATGGTTTGAGATCAAGGATTTTTGGTCATGCCATTTAACTACTAGTTGATGTTCATGAACCCTTGTTTTCAACTGCCTTCCTGTTTGTCCCACATAGAATTGCTTACAATTGTTGCAATTGATTTTGTATATTATGTTGCTATTGTCTTCCTTCTGTATTTCGTCTTTGACTTTAGATAGCTCTTTTCTGAGTGAAAATGGGGGTTTCTGAGCTATCGTTATTCCTAGGAGTAAGTACTATTCTGGCAACCATTATACTGCTGAGCCTAGAGGTTATTGCCCTCACCAAATTGTATACAGTAGTTAAATAACTCACCTTGTCGATCTTAACATGTTATTAAATAAAGGGTAGGGATGGCCTGATCTGATAATATCTGGCTAACAAATTTAAAATACTTCTAGAATATTCTTTTTAGATTACAGAACTTTATCCTGACAACTTCAAACCATTCTAAACATTATGGATAATCATTTTCAATGTTATGCAAAATGCTGCATTTCAGAAAGGAATATACATACCATTCTTTTTGCCTTCTTTACTAAATGCAGAGATATATCTAGTTCAATTGACTGCACACACAAATATTTCATATGGGACATGCTTGACAAATGCCTCACAAAGTATTTGTTGATGCAATTTGTTGATCCAGTACTTGGCACATAAAGAATCTGTTTCAAAACGGTATTGGGATAGCTCGTAACTCAAAATGTAATTGGGATAGCTTTTGTTGTTATAGGAATACAGAAACTTTTAAATTGCTCCAAGTTCTTAACTGGTAGAAGGAGAAAGATATAAAAAGAAAAGCAGAACAATAGTATTGATCAAGAGGTGATGTAAATGATATGAGTTCTGTCAAAGTAAACATTAAGAATCACTGGTTTTAAATATGCAGAATTGAGCACACTTTGTTCAATCCATGCCATAAATGAATTTTAACTGCCATTTAATTTTGACTAGATTTCAATAATATTTTTAATATTTGAAACATCAGCGCATATGATAAACAGAGTGGATTTGTTCAATTCACTATCACAAAATATTTTTTTTAAAGTAAGGTAATATTTTTGAAATATCCTGGTTTATCTGCTCTTTTTGTACCTTTGAATTAAAAGCAATCATATTTTAGCAGAGAAGCAGCACTGGATTTATTGTATGATAATTGTGGAGAAATCAAAAGTAATAATAGCATCATTTGCTTCTGTACCCAGAGGTTGCACTAATGAATCATCTTCGAAAAAAGTCTCACAAAAGAAATACAAAATATAGTCCAGCATATCCTGCGTCATATTAAGTCTCTGTAAATTCTATCATGTTGCAAACAAACACAAACAACTTAGCTAAACAGCAAGCTAGAGAACTGCTCAGTATCTTCTAAATAAACAAGCATGCACAAAGCCAAAGTATTAACTATGAACCTCTGAAGTTAGTTTCTTAAACACTTTTGGCTCTCAAAGCAATCAAACTAACTGCATCCAGATTTTGGTTCTGCAAATGAAAATAGGAATAACAAGAGAGCTGAGTCTCAAATGATACAATGAAGATAATATTATAAAATATTTATAGACAGTGCTGCTGTCTATTAATAAATGGCATTAGATGTTTTAAAATACTAGTGCTCCTCCATTCTTTATAAGATGTCATTAACTATAATTAATATCCTATTGGTTTAAAACTATATATTGGCTTGTAGAAGAAAAACTATTATGAAAATCACGTGACATTTTTTCATACATGCATTTCATTTTTATATAACTTATTAATTGTAGCTCAGAAGGCTAACAAAATCATTTGCAGTATGTAGTAAGTATATGAATGAATTCCCTTTCTTTTTTCCACAGAAAAAAGGCTGTTCCAGAGATCAGTAACTCAGATGATCTGCTGATAGCAAGTTCAGCAGAGAGGAACATTGCTCTGGGTAACTTTCTTCTTACACGAATCATTTGTTCTACAAACTCAGCAACTGCATCCATACTATTAAAGAAACCCAACATTCCCATAACTAACCCTGTAATTTTGTAGAGTAAAATATTTTGGGGAATATCCCCAAATAGTTTCAACATACCATAAACCCTTTAATGAGCTCCTCTATTGCCTTTAAAAACTGTCATTCTGCTTTTAACAACTAACAATAACTTTACAATTCTCATTACTGCTCCAGGTTGTATGTTTGTTGCTTTCTACTCCTGATTTGATCGAATGCTTTGTCAGCAAGGAGTGCCTGTCCCAACAGATGACAGTGCAAACCTGGATCTTCTTTTTTGATAGATATTGGGAGTCTTCTTAAGCAGTATTGAAAGGCATAGACGGCTCCTCACTTGTCTGTGATCTGATTTAAATGCTTGTTTGGTTTGACATCAACTCCACCATCTTCAGTAGTACCATACTTTTCTTGGGAGTACTGCCTGGGTTCCTGGGGCTGATTTCCTACAATTTCACTAAACTATTGATCACTGACATAACTGCTATTAAGAAAATGTCTAGAAGCAGCCAACCTTGCACAGAGAATCAAAAGGTATTTGCTATGGCTTCCCTCTCCATCAGATTCCCTTTATTTACACAAGTTCAGTGACATTTCAAGAAAGCTTGGTCAAAAAAGCTTGGTTAAAAGTTTCAGTGGATTTAATGTGCAGGATTCCTCAATATGTGGACTTAGCAATGAAGTTGGGAAGCCTGACCAAATGCAATGCTATTTAAGTAAATCCTATTTTAAAAGGAGTTATAGGATCATTCATTCAATAGTGCACCCCGCTGAAATCGTAACTCCAAATGCATGTCTGCATTACATTGCATAATAACGTCTGCATTAACGCAAGTGCTGTAATTTACATGGGATCAGGCTGCAGAACTGCGATCGGTCAGAGTAAGAAATAGGTGATTTAAGATCCTGAAAGAAGAAAGAACGAACTTGAAAAGCAATAAATGTGCCCATAAGTTGTTTGTTGAGCTAAATGAAGAATATTGCAAAAAATGGAATAGTAAATACATTAATAAGATGTCTTGAAAAGAACGATGCAGACAAGTCTGGCCATATTTGAGCAAGTCATGGTATTCGCCCCGGGATAAGCAAAGGCGCGGCTTCTACTGTCAAAGAAAGAGAAAAAGAAAGGAAAAGGGCTCAAGGGTGGGGTGGGGGGGTCTCTTTCCGGAAACGGGACTTCTTTCTCCCGACAGAGGTGACCAAGACTGGACTTTGAAATGGGCAGCGTCCAAAACTTACAAAAGACCACAAAAGTGGACCTCTCCTCCACTGATACAAAAAAAGGGGCCAGGAAAGCTGGCCTCCTGGGAGGCTTTTGTTCGCTCGCTCGGTCGCCCGCCCGCCCGCAGCCTTGAAGCTCTGCACCCCTCCACCGAGACGATTGGCGCAGCTTCGCCCCACTTCGCCGCCCCGGCCCTTTGGCTGAGCCAGCACGCTTCTTGCCCTGGAGGGCCGAGCAATTGTCTTACCGCGAGGTCGCCTTTTTCCTTCCTCTCGAGCGCAGGGAGTTGCTTCTCCTCCCGCGGGCGGTTCGGCAAGCGACTGCCTCCTTTGAACCGCTCCTTCCCAGTTTTATAGGACTCGCTTCGAAGAGGCGTCTGTAGATGGCAGCTCGGCTAATCAGCTCCTCCTGCTGCTGCCGCCCAGGAGCTTGCACTGAACAGCGCCGAAGCGGGGAATTGCGTTTTTCCCGATATCTACGTGCGAGCCACGATCACCTACATCCTGTGCCCTGCATGGGAAAATCCCAGCTTAACTTTCCCAAAGCTTCCGAGGATCCCGGATCACCTCCCCGCAGGGCTCTTCCTGGCGCCGGCCTGCCCGCTCTGAGGGTCGCGGTTGCAGAGACTCACCATGACCCGGGGCGTTCCGCCTCTAGGCCCCGATGTAACTCGCTAGGGACTACCGAGGCTTGCACTCTGCTTTGGGTTGTCCTCGCAGAGGCAGCCATCACTGGAGCTATAGAAAAGTAGATCAGCAACAAGTTTGCAGTCCCCTGTTACTGGGTCCTTTCCCGCCACAGAATTGAGGCTGGTGACTGATGTCTTGCTGACTGTTTTAATACGGATGTTTTAAGAAGCTATTGTGTATTTCTCGGCTTATTTTTTTCCCCTCTTTGAAAGAAATGTCCTGGGTTCGGCTCCAAGTGGGGAAAAGACATCGGAGACATGGAGGCTGCTTGGAAAGGTGGTTTTAATGGTGGACAGGACCACATGGCTTGAGTCCTGAACAGAAAAGGTGATCACATGCTTCAACGTTGGAGAGAAGGGAGGACTGAGATGCTGAGTCCCTGGTTTTATGCCCTCTCTGGCCTTTGATCTTGAGCTTGTATTCTGATTGTGAGCCAAGGTGGCGCAGTGGTTAAATGCAGCACTGCAGGCTACTGCTAGATCAGCAGTTCAGCTGTTCAAATCTCACCGGCTCAGGGTTGACTCAGCCTTCCATCCTTCCGAGGTGGGTAAAATGATTGTTGGGGGCAATATGCTGACTCTCTGTAAACCGCTTAGAGAGGGCTGAAAGCCCTATGAAGCGGTATATAAGTCTACTGCTATTGCTATATTGTCAGACTCCCATGGGGCCATGCAGGGGCAACTCTCTAGGCTGCGTTCTGAATACAGGTTTGGTTGAGTTCTCAGATGCCATGTGGTGAGTTGGGTAAAGGACCAATATTATCCTGCCTTAATCCCATCTCCTTGGAGCTGAAGGGGAGAACTCTTTATTATGTAAAGGGACTGGCTTGGCCTTCTTAATGGCCCATTGACAAAGTGGATGGGGGCAGGAAGCTGCAGGGAGCTATTCTCTCTTTAAAACATGTTTCTTCCTTTTCACATCCAAGGAAATATAATATTCTGCCATTTCAATATTTCCTAGGATATTTCATTTTTCTGGGAGAGGGCTGGGTGATAACTTTCCACACCTCCCTTCAAAGGCTTTTCTGGGCTGGGATCTTAAAGCACTTGACTTCCATGATAAATCGCCAGGAAACAATTTACCACTTTAGAAACCCTATTTTGGATTTAGGCCTTCCTCCAACTTGGTCCCACTTTAGCCCCGTGTTTTGTCTAAACTGACCTTATCAGAGGTCTTGATCAGGCAACTGATTCCACACAATCTTTCCATGAGGAGGTCTTGGAGGACCTGGTTTCCCCTGATGACCTCCCTGAGACCTCCCTGTTTTTACTTACTCTTCACACCTTCCTGCCTGGTGCATCCACCTATGGACTAGTAATGAGCAGAAAGAACACTGCCCACCCAGTTTTGTCGTTCCTTTCCATTTTCAGCTGATTCAAAAAAGGAAGAAAAAGCTAACAAAAAATCCCTGCAGGTTACATGTTTTAGAAAGATACTAAGAACATGTAGTGAGAGCAGCCAGAAGGAGTTCTATATATTGTTTGTCACTCTAATTACCTCCTCGTCACCCAAACTCTTTAATCATTCTGTGCTTCACATGATGCCTTGCCTTGCAAATAATTAACTACGATAATTCATTCTTAATCTTGCACATTCTCCCTTAGTTTGGTTACCCAACTTTGTAGCCCCCTCAGTTCCTATTTTTCTGCCCCCTCCTTCTTTTGAAAGCATGCATTTTGTATTCCAATTTTCTGTTTTATTAACATACAAAAATTTTTAGTTAGCCCTTCTCAAGTAGCTTTTCCCTGCTACAAATCACTAACTAGATTTTTACTGTGTCAAATTATAAATAACACAGTTGGATGATTATATACAGTCAAGTTAGTGTCAACTCTTAGCATTACAGGTAGTTCTTGGCTTACAACAGTTCATTTAGTGACCTTTCAAAGTTACAATGACACTGAAAAAAGTGACATGACCATTTTTCACACTCATGACCATTGCAGCATTTCCATGATCATGTGATTTACATTCAGATGCTTGACAACTGGTTCATATTTATAACAGATGAAGTGTCCTGGCGACATGTGATCACTTTTACAACCTTCTGACAAGCACAGTCAATGGGGAAACCAGATTCACTTGACAACCATATTACTACTGTGTTTCCCCGAAAATAAGACATGCCCTGCTAATGCCCAATGGGGCATTTCAGAGCATGCGCCATAATAAGCCCTCTCTCGAAAATAAGCCTGCCCCCAACTATTGAAGCGAATGCGCAACCAGTCCCTGCCATTACCACTGTACCACCTACCAGTACAGCTTGTGGGGCAAAAAAAGGGCTCACCGAAAAAACAGCCACAGGCGAAGCAAAGTGCTTCCACCTCCCTCCCTTCCCTCCCACGCAAAAAGAGCCTGCCACAAAAACAGCAGCAGGCGAAGCAAAGTGCTTCCAACCCCCCGCCCTTCCCTCCCCCACAAAAAGAGCCCGCCGTAAAAACAGCAGTAGACCAGCAATGCGATCACCCTCTCCCGCTTGTGCCTTCTCGCGCAAAAAAACACCGCCCACCCAATGGTAAAGGGTTACCTTCCCCTGCCTGGTTCCCTTCCCCGCTGTCCCTTTAGCGAGGGGTGACAGGTGGAGGGGAGGAGCGAGGCGCACCTCTTACCTTTCCAGGTCCGTTGCATTCCTCGCCCTTTTCTCCAGTGAATCCCCTTGTAAAAAAACTTCGTGAGTGCAACTCGCGATTTTTTTTTACAAGGGTCTTCACTGGATGAAAGGGCAAGGAACGCAACAGATCTAGAAAGCTAAGAGGTGCGCCTCATGGCCCAATACCACTCAGCTCACCACAATGGTAAAGGCAGCTGCCTGGTTCCCTTCCCCACAGTCCCTTTAGCAAGGGGTGGCAGGTGGGGGGAGGGAGAAGTGAGGTGCGCCTCTTACCTTTCCAGGTCCGTTGTGTTCTTCGCCCTTTCGCCCATTGAAATCCCTTGTAAAAAAAACCTCGCAAGTTGAACTCGTGGTTTTTTTTACAAAGGGATTCATTGGATGAAAGGGCGAGGAACGTAACAGACCTGGAAAGGTAAGAGGCGCACCTCGCTACTCTCCCCTCACCTGCCACCCCTTGCTAAAGGAGTCCATCAATTCACTCCATCACCCTCCTGAGATGACCCAAATCCATCTGAAAGCAATCCAGATGACAACCCGCTGGTAAGTGAACCAATTCAACCACTCACCCTACCTCTAAGACTGTTTATCCCAAGCCAAGGGAAGGAGGACAAAGTATCAGCACTGCTGGACTCAAGGTGTACCCGGTGCTTAATTAGCTCCACCCTGGTAGGAAGGCTAGGGATCCACCTGAAACTAAAAAACCGCATTGCTTTCTGCCAATTCAATGTGTCCATAGCGGTGAGGGGGGGGAACAGCAATCTTTGCCACAGAATTCTTGCAAATAAGCCTAGGACACCATGATGAGACTTTAACCTTCATAGTAGTCCCTGGAATGGAATGGTTGCTAGTCCTGGGACTCACATGGCTGAAAAAATGAAACTCTAGAGTAAATTGGAAATGGGACCATAAATTTCCAAAAACACATGACATTCTCAAAAGCAGAAAAAGAAAAGGGGGAGGGGAACGAAACAGCAATGTGCCAAGCACACCCGAGCTGTGGTGACCCCAGGCATCCCAAAAGAATATTGGCACATAGCAGAGGTTTTCAGCGAAGAGTGCTCAGATGAACTAACCCCCCCCCCCATGTTACAGATTGCACTATCGAGATCTTACTAGGGGCTAAACTACCAAACCAAAAATGTACTGTATGTCCCCTAGAGCAGTGGTTCTTAACCTGGGCGATATGGCCCCCCAGAGGGTGATTTCATTTTTCGGGGGGGATGGAATGAAAATGGGCGATGTGGGGGCCAAGGAACGGAAGATGGGCAATATGGAGGCGATGGAGCGAGAAGTTTTGGGGACACTTTTGAGACTTTTTTCATACAGTGAACCACTGTATATCTGTCGTAAAAAAACATCAGATCGCTCACCATTAGTGGATTGAACTGTGTTTTAAAATGTTCCTCCAGCTAGCTTCAGTACAGAACACCGTAATATGTGAATACGCATCGCTCATCTTCATGCGGAGAAACACTGATTTTACCAGCAGTGAAACAGATTGTTGCCACCATTTTGGGGCCCAGTGCAAGCACTTTCACGCAATCGATTCCTTTGAGCAATGACACTGTATCAAAAAGAATTGATGAAATGGCTGCCTGAAAAGGCTTATTGACACCTTGAAAAGTACAGAATTCATGATGCAGATTGATGAGTCAACGATTTGTGAAAATGAAGCCTTGTTATTGGCTTATGTCCGTTTCATCAACGGAAATGAAGAGATTGGGGAAGGATTTAGCCACCGACACAAAAGGTTCTTCGATATTTAAAAAGGTTGAAGAGTTTTTTAATGAGAAAAACATCCCTTT